CGCCGGTTCCGTAACGCGCCCACCTGAGGTTCCCCGTTTGTCGTCTTTACCTGCCAGAAAAAAACCAGCCTTCGCGTAGTCCGCTGCGGACTCCATGCGGTGGGTGGGAGTTACTGCCCGAACTCGCGCGTTGCTTCTTCAACATGCAAGTTGTTGTTTCTTCCGGAATTTTTTATTTGGCAAATGGAATTTGCGACTGTAACCCAGACACTTCAACAACAATATAAAAGTAGGAATTTTTTTTTTTTAAGTTAAGCCTTATAAGTGGCAGCCGTTAGCGCGCGAGCGTGTTACAGTACTTGACTGATAGCTCCACCTGCTGCCTAATGGGAAGACTACATTCTTCTCCCTGTAGCGGGAGCCATGTTCTTTCTTCAGGTAGTGTGCTGTCATGGTAACCGATTCCTGCGCACAGAAAGTCTGCGCAGCAGGACATGTATCGGGAGTTTTAAATGTTTAAAAAAGAAAATGTTTTATACTTATTTTAAACATCTTTGTTTAAACATCTTTGTGTGCGAGGTCAGGGAAAGACGGGGAGAAGCCTACGGAATCGGGGACTTGTGCTTATGTGGCCGAAAGAAAAGTGAAGGTTTTCATTTCCTAGATGTGCATAAGACTGATGTTTGTAACCCACTCGAGTAGCTAGGTATTTCCAACACCTGGCCCTAACGGTAGTCCCTTCCACTCTTTTTTTTTTTGCCAAAAGTCTTAACTAGCCTTATGACTACTGTAATCAAGACGTTAATCCAGTTTCCTAGCATCATCTTAAACTTCATGCTTGCTGGAATAATGGAAAGACCAAACTGATTAAGTTTAGCTGGTGATGAGAGAAAGGAAAACCCCTGTTAATTTCAGTAAGCTGAAAAAGTCTGAATAGGCCCTAAGTTTCCTGACGTCTAGAAATTTGATTTCAAAGATACTTTGAGATGGATAGACAAATCCACCCCACTTAGGGTATTTTTGAAGGGTTGGGTCAGTGCTGCTGATGCTATAATTTCAGGGTAGCCAATTTTTCAACTTCAGGATTTTCTGGATTTTGAAAACTTTAGGTGGCTTAGGCTTTGGACACTGATTCAGGAGCAGTGCGAGTTCTTTGCCCATACTGTATGTAGAAGTACACAATTGTTTACATAATGCTACATTAGGTAGTAAAATAACAATTACACATTGCGCTGGTAAAATAACTTGGTTTTAGATAGGACAAAAGTTTTGCATTGCAGTACTGAAGACTTGAAAAGTAACTTTGAAAGGAGGAGATTTTGTTTCCTGTCTTCATACTGTAAGACTTTTACCACTGTGCATTTTTCAACAACAGCTGCTCTTCAAGTTCTAAGAAATACATGTATTAACAGATCTTAAGGTTTCTTTTTGATGTTGACCAATTTGTCAAATGCCTAATTAGGATGTTTACTCTCTTTTTTAGATACTTAATGTGTAAAAGCATTAAATAAGTGTGTTTTCATTGAAAACTGTTTTCTGCATCATTAGCATGAGAAATGAATGCTGCACTTCCATGGCAGCCAAGGCCATCTATGACTTGGGTACCAGCAGTATCTGTATGCCTACCCACTTCCTTGTGCTGGTTCTGGCACTTGGTGGGTGCCTCTGCTGTGAGCTGTTTCTGTTCTAGGCTGTCAGAGAACTTGCACAGCAAAGTGAATACTTCTCTTTTAGCCTGGTTCGCTGAAGCAGATCCAGAAAGAAATAAGTAGAAGCCAACAGTTAGGTCAGCTTAAGGTTGCTGTGGAGTTGCAGTCTCAGATTTCAGTTCAAATGCCCTTTAGCTGGGGGGTGCAGCCAAGGAAGTGGTTTCCTCACCTCTTTCTTTGTTTTTGCCCTTGTTGTGTTCTTATGCTAGCACAAGTGTTTACGTAACTGCCGAATGAGCTTGGATCAGAAATGGGTGTATCTGAAAAGTACTACAAAACTTTTCTCCTGTGAAACATAGGATTGATTTCCTTGCACAGTGATACAAAGAGCTGTCGTACAAGAGGAGGGAAGGGAGATAACTACACTTTTTCTGTTTACAGCAGAAATGTTCTATTACACAATCTCTATTACCATGGAACAGTGGAAGTTGCAGTCTCCCACCTTCACTGGAGGGTAGAGGGAGTTCTTAGAGGATAAAGGGAAAGGATTGACTTGCAACTTTTATTGAGAATTTGCATTTACTCATAGTCAGTGAGTAAATTGATGATGGGCAACAGTATCTGGTGTGATGGAACCAGATTCTGTCTAAGGTATAGCTTCATGAAATGGTTTTGAACAGAATTGATGGCTTAGTGCTTCTCAGAAGGAGGCTAAGCCTCCCCATCTCCATTTCCTCTTCTGCATCCACTGATCCTGAGGTGGATCTGGTGCTTGTCTGATAGCATGCTAAGCTGATTCAATTCGCTACAGTAGCAGAATACTAACTGGGTGAAAAACTGCTCACTTTATGTTAAGCTTCCTGCCAGATTTTGTTGAGCCAGCTTAATTTGAACTGGCAAGTGTTAGAACTTGTGCAGAAGGGGTGCGGGAAAAGAGATGGGGCAAACCTTCTCTGGCTTTTAGTAATGGTGTGTTGTTAATTTGGTTCAATCATACTGAAATCATATTTTGAGGGCTGTATTCTAGTTTTGGCTTTGTTTAATTGCTGGGCAAATCATGTGCCACATGTATAGTTTGGTTCTTGTAATTTTCTCATTCCCTTACTGGGTGTCCAGTTTGAATACTTGTCACTCACAGCTGCAGTTTTAAATGTGCATTAAACATGGAAATTGTTACATTGAAAAATTGGATGCTACCTATTGCAAATTATTAGGTTTCAAAATACCAGGTAACTTTGACTAAATCAAAGTTTGGAGTATCTGAAGTAGGGATAATGCCACACCAGCTGAATTGTACTTTGAAACATTAATAAGCTTTTCCTCACATTAATATAGAGGGATGAGTAACACTGAACTGGTCAGAGTTTATGTTCTTACCAGCCAGGCAAAGCATGGCACGTAGCTGGAACCATTCATTCAGGAGAGTAGAAGACGAGAGGGGCTAGAGTTTGCGGTGCCTATGGTGCTTATGTTGTGTTTTAGTTCTTGTAAATACCTTTGTAAAACACTTCAAACCTGATGCAGAGTATGGAACCACGTCTTTGCTAGCATCAGTAACAAGAAATGGAATTGCATGTGGTCTGTTCATTTGAACAAAATACTGAATTACTGTTTGTTTAGGGAGCATCATATCTTCCTCTGCACTGAATGAATCCATAATTCCTAGGCAGTGACAAAATGCTTTAGGATCAAAAGGGTGCATCTGAAGCCTGGGTGTACAAAGCATATCATGACTGTAGTTGCTCTGTAATCTTAACATTCTTTGCAGTTCTTCTGTACGCGCAATGCATGCTTAAGATCCTGCTTTGGTGCAGACAACTTGGAAACAAGTTTGTAGTCGTTCATATTCCTGTTGTAGTTGACAGTGTCTTTTTTTCTGAGAAAATAAATAGTGTGAATATTCCATCAAGGTCCGATTTCCCTTCTTACAGCTAACTTATACTATAACCCTGTTACCTGTGCTGTAGGGCTGTTTGTAAGCTTACTCACATCTCAAGTATTTAAAGCTTTTGACCAGGAAGATGATGGAATTTTTTCTGTTGGATAATCAATTTACAGTAAATTGTATCTTTAAAGAATTTGATGTCTTGCTTACATTTGAAAGGAATTTCGTAAAGTTCGAAAATGAATTATTTTGGCGTTCTCACTGTGTTTGGTAGTAGCAGCACTGGTCGTGAAGTTTGATATAGTCAGACAGGGCTACTTAAAGTAGTCTAGGTTAGGTTTAGATTTAAATTATTAAAGCTGCTTAGAATAATTACTTCAACTTTTTTCCAATGAGTGGTCTATTTGCAGTGAGTACTTCAAGGAATTGGAAAGGTGCTATTGAAGTTCATTGTCCCATGCTATATCTATAGGAAGATGCAGGCATTTTGGTATGTTAAAGTGAACTATAATAATTTGACTGAAATATGTATTTCTGTTTAAATCTTTCAGTCTGCAAATGTGGAGGCCCAGTGTGCAGGTGTCTTGGAGGATAATACCCGTTTGTCAACAACCAGTCAAGGATATGTTTTACCAGAAGGAAAAATCATGCCAAACACAGTCTTTGTCGGTGGAATTGATATAAGGGTATTTATATACTTTTAATTGTTTAAGATAGGTATAGGGCATTTCAGTGGGAAGAAAATGGGAATTTGACTCCTGGGTTGTTTTTTGGTTTTTAATGTGTCTTTACAATCTTAAGGTATTGCAGTGTCATGAGAGAATTTTGGAACAGGTGTGTAACTTCAGTTCTTATAGTAGTAGAAGATGGGTTTAAAAAATGGTACTGGCTGCTTTAAATCAGTTCTGAACAGTTGAATGTGTCTGAAGAAGTTTAAGACTTTGTTTCTTTTAGATGAATGAAGCAGAAATTCGGAGTTTCTTTGAACGATATGGTACTGTGAAAGAGGTGAAAATAATCACTGACAGAACTGGTGTTTCCAAAGGGTGAGTAGAACATGAATAGTTGTTTTAAGTTGCTGCTTATGTGGACTTAATTCTGTCATAGATGATATGAGCAGCTACTTAGCAACACACTTGACATGCTTAAGCCTTAACACTAGCTGCAGTTTTCTGTTGTGGTGAATTAACACTGTGAAACCTGTAAGTCTAGATTGCCCCTAAATCTGTATAATCTTGTAAAGAATAGCCTGATTTTTCTGACTTCAGTGTATCTGTTCAGGGAAAAGAGGGTTATTGTCACTTAACCAGTGGAAACAAAGCTTGAAACTTGTGTGATGCTTATGCAGACAGTTCTTTTGTAGGACTCTTCTGATGGCTAGAGTAGTTAACAACAATCTGGAGAGAGTTCAGGATGGTTAAGAGAGGGGGGAGATAGTTTTTTCAGAGCAATGGGACTGCACTCTTCTGACACTCAGGGATAAGTTATAGAGAAAACAACCAAACTCGTTTGGGTGAACAGTGAAACTAAGTGAGTGAAGTTGAAGCAAGGGAAATTCCTATTTGATATATAGAAAAATTCTGAATTGTCTGTGGTGAAACACTAAAATTAGAATGTGTAAGGACCTTAGCTTGTTGAGTTCTGGGGAAACACTCCCAGTTTTGAAGCCATCCCTGCTTTGAGAAGGAGGCTTCACCTTCTGGAGGTTCCTTCCAGCCCAATTTTTTCTGAGATTCTATGAGCAGATCCTAAGAGTCATGTTTTCTTAGGCATATGTAGTAATGCGTGAGCTGGAAAGCTGTTTTACTTCCTCATATCCTTTGCTAGTCTTCATGGTGAATTCTGATGTGCAATTAGCCAGTGTATGTTCTGAGTATTGATAATGAATTGCATACTCCATTGATTGACACAACTGTTCCTATAATGCTCTGAAATTACCTTCATTTTATAGACTAGATAAACTAGGGGGGCAGTGAAATAAATTGAAAAACCTCTTCAAGAATCGCTTCCTCCACTGGTATCACCGTTCCTGTAATGCCTGCTTTCACCCAAACCTCTGTAGTAAATACAAAATTTGATGATAATTTGGGTCTTAATACTTAAAAGATGTGTTTACTTTCTCAGTTAGTAATATTGACAATGGTGCTTGTTTTAAGTAGCTGAAATGGAATAGCCCTTACATCTATTTCATATTACTCTAGAATCTGGCATTCAATTCCTTTCATCTGGCCCAGCAGTATATGCTGCTAGGTAGCAGTAAATACATTCTCATGCTGAATTACAAACTAATGTCCTACTTGATACTTTCAGCATGCAATAATAATGTGCATGGCATATATGCTGTTGACTGGTCTGTTCAAAATAATTTACCTAACAAACAAATCAAAATATGGTTATTGAATAACCTGTTTTTTCTTTTCAGGTATGGATTTGTATCTTTCCTGGACAACGTGGATGTTCAAAAAATAGTAGAAGTAAGCTCTTTGCTAAATTATCTGAAGAAGTTGATACATGAAGGCTGGAGACATGTTCAGGGGAAACAAAGTCATGTAGCCTGTAGAGTAAATAAGGATAAGGAAAGTCTAGGGCTGCCCAAAAAATAAACTTGCTAAAATACCTACCGGTGGTAGAATCTGTGTGTATTTACTTAAAGAAACAAAATTAGTTGTAGCCTTGGTGTGCTTGAACATCTCATGTCATCGTATTTCTGGTTGTTCTCATTCATTTATATGTGCTGGAAGGCTTCACGTGTGTTTTTGGCTGTTTGCTTTCTGTATTGGATGATTGTCATAGAACCCTTGTGCTTATGGTAGATACATAGACCTGTCAGCATTATTACTGGGAATAACAGTAGCAGAAAACAGCATTAGTTTTTTACTTAAGTCTCAGCAGTTGAAGTATGTGTTTCTTTCTTGCAGCTTTTGTGCATTTGGATGTTACCTGGAGTGCAAGTATTTTTTTAAGCCTCCTTGACTACAAGATGCAACTGTTCATGTCATGGTTTTCCTGTAGTTCACACAGGAGATAAAGGGGTAGAACTGGTACAAGCCCTTCTGCTCTTAGAGTTCAGTATCAGAGAAGTTTTAAATCTTAACACTTATGACCAAATCTGTTATTTGGCTTTGGTAGACTTCAGGTCACGAACCACTGACAAAGCTTTTTGTTTTCCTTCTTTCTCCCAAAACTGAGTGCAATAACTGTGAAAATAAACATGTATTGAAGTATTTCCCTCTCTGAAGTCTTTGCCTCAGAAAACTCCCATGTCTCTGGCGGATGAACAGTCTCTCTTGCTTCTGAAGCTCTCAGGGAAGTAGGTCTGAAAGACAAATACAGATAAATGTGCCAGGCACAAATTTAGTTTTGTGATATGTTCACATGTGTTTACTGGCTGCCCAGCTCCTTAAGGGGGAAGAGGACATCTTTGTTCAAAGTGGAGAGCAGTGAAACTCCAGCAGGAGATTCTTGATTCTCACGAAAAGACTTCAGAAGCTTGCTATTCTTTAACTCTCATGGTATGCTGACAAAAATACTGCCGTATTGAGCAACAAACTTTATCTGAGAATGTTTTTTACCATGGGTTACATTTATTGTACTAGATCAGTGTGGAATGCTTGCTCTGAGGCAACAATCTCTGTAGAGACCTCTTGAGTAGCATTGTCATTTGAGCCATGTATATTGCTGACTTTGTGTGTGCATTTCTTCAAAACTAAAAGCCCTCAGTGTATCTCTATAGTACTTGCTGATGTGACTTTGTATACCAGAGGTCTTGGAAGACCCAGAGGTATATGGCAGACTTTCTTTTCAGTGCAAATTCCAGGTGTACAGGCAGTACAAATTACTGCCTTGTCAGGAAGAATCTTGTCCAGCTAGAAATCATCTTACAAAGCTGTTAGCTTCTGGAGGGGATGGAAAGAGGGAGAGGATGAACAGCTGCATTTTAGAGCTTGTCATAAGCAGAGATCACATCGCTAAACCATTTCAGGCGTTACCTGTACTGAGTGGTCGCAATGTTTTATGTAAATAACAAGATAGAGCCTCTCTGGTTAGAATTGCTCTAGATGCCAGGGCTTGTCTGCCTAGCTCTGTAGCTTTGTGCAATCTGAAAGTATTTTTCTTCTGACTTAGGTCTGATTCCATTTGTAACTGCACTCTGGTCCAGAGTGAACCTGTTTGCAGTTCAGAGCAGAAAGCTACCTTCTGCTTTGAGGGGAGGCCTGTCTTCCAAGAGCTCTTGGTTGCTCAAGTGGAAAAGACAGTTTTGCATGGTTCTGAGCACAACAGGACTGTAGGATCAATTGAAAAAAAACCCAAAACCCCAATATATCTTACTTTATCCTATTTTTATCAGTATGAGAAGATGAACAAATTACAAGACTTCCACTCTCACTATTATTCTGCTTATTTTGCTTATTTTTACAATCGACAATAAAGTTGCTGTTACCTGTTCAAAGTACTTTCTTTAGCAGAAATGGGAGGAAAAGCTTGGTGAGGTGTCTGTCAAAATTGCAAACTACCTATTTTCTTCTGAAGCAGGCAAGTTTTTAGTGTTGCATGAGATAGATGCAGATTACGTAGTCTATTTAGATTTTCTAATAGTGATTTTAATACTTGGTACTAAATTTGTATTAATGGGGGTAAAACAAATCTTTTACTTCTGATGTGTAAAGCATTTGTAAACCTCAATGTAGCCCTCTGAACTGTAACTTCAGGTAGTGTCATGTGTGCTATGCACATCTTCATAGGTGGGTAAACAAGTTCCTTGTCACCATCATGGCAGAGAATGTGAGATCAGACCCAAAGGTGAATTCTCTTTTGGGAGTTTTGTGTGGAGAAGTTCTTGACTACCTGAATAAACATTAATCTACTTAAATCCATGTATTAAAGTGACTTTCTGTAGTCTAGACTTAAACTGTAATCTTGCAGAGAACAAAATCTTACAGGCCCTCTTCTACAGTCAGTCCAAATAGACCTTGAAGTGTGAGGATGTTGTGGTGCCATTTCAGCCTACATCCATTGGTGAATGTTCTAGTTTTCAAACTAAGCAGTTTTGCTGAAGAACACAGAATTCAACTTCTGCAGGGAGGGAGGGTGCTTGGAATTCTTCCTGTGCCCCAGATACTGTGCTGGCAAAGCAGTACTCAATCATTGATCATTGGAAGTCTGAAATCCTGTCTTCTGTGTGAACTAGCATTTGGGCACAACTTGCAGAATGAGAAGTTACATGTGTTCTCAGGCATTTGCTGAGCACCGAGGAGTGCTTCCAGCCCTGTTTTGCAAGTCTGTCAGATGCTTGTATTCCTGGGTTTGGGTATTTGAGGAGCACGTGAACCATATTTCAGTTTTGCTCTTTCTTGATCAGTCTGTGCTGCATAGATGCTTTGGCCAAAAAAGTTGTGAAATACCATGTTTGCCGGATGTCCCGAAGGAGCGCATGTGAAAATCTCTCTAGAGAGAATACAGTAACGTGCAGGTAAACCGTAGTGCTTAGACAGCCTTCCATTTCCTTTAATATTGGGTGGACAGCTTCTAGCGCATTAACATGAAGCCTGTTAGGAAGTTTGTGGGAAGGAAGGTAAGTGGCGATGTAAACAGGGTTTCAAGGGAACCTATGCTATGGTCACTTTACATTAATATCCTTACTGAGGCAGGAATAGTTCGAATCTGTGTGTATAAAACCAGAAGGCTGGCAGTCACTAATAGGTAGTTGCAAACTACTAGTAGTGTATGTTGCTATTAAGGCAAGTGATATAGGTTTGGAGAGTCGGTGAGTAGGGAAATGAGTGTGCTGAGAGCATTGCAGGAAATTAAAGGTGAAAGGCATAAGTTGAGGTGGGAGAATCAGAATGGAGGCTGTGGAGCCTGTACGCGAGTTGATGATACTGTGGTGTAGAAGCAGAGTACAGTCTTTTTAAAATGAAACAAACCACCCACTCACTGATTCCGCAGCTTACAGAATAACCTGTCTTTCAGTCACAAATCAACTTCCATGGCAAAAAGCTGAAACTGGGGCCAGCGATTAGAAAGCAACAAAACTTGTGTAAGTATACATAAACAAATTTGTTCATATTGCAAGTAATTAAAAATTTGTTTTTTTCTTAATTCTACATTAACATCCTTGTAAGTCCTTTTTGTCTGATGTAATATGTATATTACAATTCAGTTCTGAATTTTATGACCTCATTACTTCAGTGGTGTTGCACAGATTTAACAATAACTCAGGTTGGTAGCACAATACAGTTAATGTTGAGTTGAATTTGAGTCAAAACGCTTAAGGTTTTTTGCAGCTTGAATTCAGATTATTAATGAAATACATGTGAAAATGTCTTAATACTTTATTTTTCTTTGCTTTAAAACAAGGTTCTTATGTGCATCCCAGACCATTAGTCTTCAATCCTCCTGCACCACAGTTCCATAGTGTATGGGGTAATCAAAATACAGAGACATACATGCAGCCTCCAGCTGTAATGAGCCCAGTAACGCAGTATGTTCAGGTAAGGCTGTTCATGCCACTGATTTTGCGTCATAATAAAATACTTTTGAAGGTGCAAGCACATACAACTTCAGGAATATGTATTGAGATTCCAGTCTTATCTTACCCTCTTGTTTTCATATTGCCTTCCCCAATAAGAAGCGCCCAACTTCACTTAAAAGAACGCCAACGACCCTGAAAAAATTAATTGGTGATGTGATCTCTTTATAAAACAAAAGATGGGGAGATACTTCTTATTTTGAGAACGAGAAAACTGTTGGAGGTGGAGCTGAGATTTAACTATATAACAGTTCTTAAGTGGTCTTATTACTTGTCACAGATGCACTTCACAAATCAAATGCATCTGGATATTTAATGTACTGCTGCCCTGCCTCAGAATAAACCACAAACTTTAAATGTATTTTTTAAACAAGTATGGAACCAGAAGTTGGCTGTGGACTTTAAGAACACTGTTACCGCATCTGCTGTTAACAGCTGGGACCAGTACAGTATGGCTACAGGACATAATTTTATTGGTACTTCAGATAAGCGTTCTTACTGAGGTGTAGGTAGGGTACTTCTGGCCTTGTTAATGAGTCCTGTACTGTGAATAGAAGGTTTTCCAGATTATGGTCTCTTCCTGTATTAACCCTGTATGATATAGCAATACAACAGGGCAATATTAATTGCAGACTGATTCTGTTTTGTATATTTTCTTAAGCAAAAGATGATGAGCAAACTGCAGGGACTCGCAAAAATATTTTTTGCTAAGGCAGAGAGCTTGACAGTAGTATTCTTGCTGATTCTCTAAGTTTATTGGGAGAGTGAAATAGTGTAGGAGGAACTAATTCTCTTAAATGCTGGAATGTGCCTTCAGCTATTCTCTGAAGAACCTGAGAAGGTTCCAGGTTAACGTTGTATTAAAATACTTGCAGTGAAGAAATGCTGGGAAATTGTTTGAATTGTAATACTTAGCTTGCCTTTGGCTCCAAGAAGCTGATCTCCAGGCTGTAGTCCATTATTTCATGGTAGTTGGTCTGTTTCAGGTCTACTTTAGAAAGTTTATGGGATGAGTTGTACTTCTGAAATGACTTAAAAGACCAGCTACAAGCAGACGTGGGATTTTTAGATATGTAATACACTTTAGAATCCCACTTTCTTGAGATTCTTAGTGCCTGAAGTGCTGAAGCCCCAAGGGAAATCTGTCAGGGTTGCTTTTAAATAATGAAGCTAGTCTGAAACAGGAGTTGAAGTAACAATGTGACTACATATTTCTAAAAATGCGCTCCTGGCTTTATAAATACCTTTACAGATACCATACTTTTATCTTGCTTCAAACTTGCATTTTTAAAAAAAAGCTTTATTTTGCAGACGTATCCGTACAGTTCGCCAGCTTTATTGATACAGCAGCAAGTTCCTGTAGGATATCAGCCAGCCTACAACTACCAGGTATGTAATTCTTTAGTAGCAGCAGAAAGGCTGTTTGATACCTGACAAAACTTTAATGGAATGAACAGTGTTAACTTGAGTCTGATCTTTCTGTGTTTGTCTTTCTGTGAATCCTATTTCCCTTCAGCTCCTGCTTCACAGAAATCAAAAGTAAAAACAAAATTAGTGATGTCTTTATTCTAATGCAATGAAAACTGTTTAATAATTTAGCATACTCTTTTTTATTTTGCTATTTTTTTAAAATATGCAATGATAAAACAACTTCCAAATGAGCAAAAAGTACATGGATCAGTGATACTCTTTTCTCGTGGGAAGGATCTTTGCATTTGTACATGCTATAGTGCAGGTAGTTGATGTTAGTTACTTAAAACAAAATCACTGAGTTTTATCAGACTGTATAAGTATGGGATGTGTACAGAGAGCGGATGTGCTCTTGAGCTCTAAAAATGTCTGGGAAGGCACTTAGCTGATAGTGATTTTTGAACTCATAAGTGAAATGTGTGGGTAAGTCCTGTTACTGAAAATAAACTAGAAGTAGTTTAGTAACTGGAAGTAACTAGAGGTTTGAGATGTTTTCAGTGTGGCTGCTGTGATTCCCCTTATTTTCCTAATCTTTAGAAATCTTATTTTTTAAATTTGCTTTTAAAACTTGGAATGAGAAGAGGAAGGAGGTAGTTGAGTTTGTGGTAAGGATGACCTTGTGTCAAACACTACATGAGGTACATGTGAAAAAGCTATCTTGCCGGATGGAAGACTGTAAACTACTGTTTAATGAAAAATCCAGACATGAAATGTTATAAATGATGGCTCTTAAAGAGTGGTTACTTGCCTGTGTTGGAAATGAATGAATACAAGCTGGTTCTTGTCCAATTCTTGTTTAAGGTTCAACCACAATGGCTTGCTGGGGAGCAAAGAAATTATGTTATGCCTCCGGTAAGTCTACAAAGTTAAGCTTCTGGAACTTTGTCTTCTCAATTAGCACACTGTTTTGACAGCTTGATACTTAAAAAAAAAAAAATCAAACTCTTGTTTTGTTGACTGGATCTATATGTCATCTGGTCTATACAAATCTGTAGCTGCTGATGGAGTAGGTAATTGTTTAGGGTTTCCTACTGACATGGTGCTTTTTTTAGGAGCTGCCTGGCAGAAAAGAACTATCTGTCTTATGGCATTACTCCATATGTTCTGGTCACAGAATTCTGGAATTTTAGCATGAACAGAACTGTCTTCATGAAAAGTTGAAGGAAAAATAAGTGGTAACCTGATGCACAATCCTGACTTACAAGATCTGTATAATATTACTGCTTATTGTTGCAAATTTTTTTAAATTTAAAAAGCCTCAAAATATTCTGCTTTGCAAATACTGATTTTTTTTTGGCTCCTTTCAACAGTTTTTTTTTAAATGATTTGCCAGGCTGCTACAGACTGTAGATGGTGCTGATGGCGTCTAAAGAAATTAGTTGCTTTCTGTGACTTTACACAAGTAACATCCACAAGAGAGGAAAATATATTGTGTATTTCTTTAACAGTGTTGGAACTTAAACTTGCATCTTAGGCATTTTTGTGTTCTTTGGGTATAATCTTGTATTTACTGAGTACAGTTTCTATTAAGTGTTTAAAAGCTGTAATACTTAATTTTCTTCTGAATGGTATTCTTTCAAGCTAATTCCCAGCAGATGTCTGTAGAATGTGTGGAAGGTAAATGGCGAAAAAATGAAGAAAATGGAACTCTGTGCATATATGTATTGCTGCCTGCATGTATCTGACAATTCTGTCTGATCATATTAGAAGAATACTTTTTTCCTGCTCATTTCCAGTCATGTGTACTAAGCTTCACTTTCAGCTTCTCAGCGGAGAAGCAGCCTTTTTCTTTTCATGGAAAGTGTGTATTTCTGTTAGTGAGAATTACCTTTGCTTTAACGGGGGAAGAAACACTCAAAAGAGTTCAGAAGTCACTGAAATACTGATTACCCTGTTGGCTTGAAACAAACATCCATGAACACGATACGGCCACAGTATATCACCCAACGATTAAATGGTAGCAAGCCAAAGAGTTTTGAGGTGTGTATGGTGGTTTTCATTAGACATTTTAAGCTTGATTATATGAGCAAGCAACTCTTTTAGAACATTCTCAGTTAAGCAACTTTAAGTATCATTCTTTACATACTCAAAAGAGGACAGGCACATAAAGAGATGGGAAACTTCATCCTTTAGTCTACTGCTTTATACCTACCTATTTGTTTGGTGGATGATCACAATTTCCATTTGTAAATGGAATGCCCCAGTTGTGATGAGGTCAGATGTGATACGCCTGTTGATGGTTAGGGATGGTGCTCAAGGGAATAGTCTGCTAACACTGTAGGCTTCCATATCTCCCAATATCATCAGCTTGAAGTTAGTTTCAGTGTTCAAGGGCTTTTGGGAGTGTTGGGTGGTACACCTTGTGGTTGCTGTGTATAATCACAAATAACATCCTTAAGAATGATGTTGCAAGAAACTGAAAACTACTGTCAAGCCTGGGTAAATCTGACTACTTTGAAGAAAAAGTTTTGCCCCTGGAAAGTGAGAATGCTTAACCCTGCTGTTGAGATCCTGGTAAAATTGGCTGTAAAAGCTGCTAATCCTCTCTGGAAGGGTGTTTCTGTAAAGATAACTGCTTTATCAGCCTCTTTGCTATTGTAATTAAACTCTGCACTGGGTTGCCAATTGCAACACTGCACTGTAAGCAGAGGGAAGCGGGGAGAGTTTTTTAAAAAAAAAGCTGTAAAATGGCTCATGTTTTTCTAGACCTTTTTACATCTTAAATTGAGTATATTAGCATGAAGGAAGCTTCAAACAAGAAATAACTGTAGAGAGAAAAGCAACTTCTTGGAAGGGCGGTGGTAGTAGATGTTTTGCTTCCCCTTCTTTCATTTGATTTTTAGTGCTTAATCTCTTGAAGTTACCTGCTGGTTGTCTTGAATTCTCAGTGAATGCCTTCATTGCTCAATATGCTTGATGGCAAAACCCATACATGGAGGAAGTAGGTTGAGGAGCTAACTCTGTAACTGTGATTACAGTGGGGAGAAAAGACATACATTAGAATATATCCTTTTTGGAAGGGAGTAGAACTGTCTTAAAACAGATCAGGATACAGTATTTCCTCCACTCGTGAAACTTTACTAAATGTGTGAAGATAAAGTTGGCATAGCTTATGGATAGGTGAGGACCAATGACAACACAACTGTGCATATTTTCCCAGTGTTACTGAAACTGCAATATTTAAAAAACTATACAGGTTTATACTTCAGTAAGCTATCACTGCACTGAGGATCCAGAATTTATACAGACAGAATGTGCTGTTCCAGAGCCCACGCAGTCGTCTGCTAACAGTCCACAAAAGGTAAGTGCTTTCTCAAAACTTCAGTGTTTTTTGTCATAAATCCTATTCCCAGAAATCTGCATGTGAGGGTTATGTGGCTTGGTGAAGAGGGCCTTTGACCAGTATCCTAGAAATTAAGGTTATATTTGCTTCTTTAGCCAGTTGCTCAATCCACTGTATCTGATTTCTGTGTACAACTTCAGAAGCCTCACGTTTCCTTGAAATTATTAGTGCTTGTCTTTAGTGCTGAGGGCTGTGTAAAATGTGTGTTCTACTTCATTAAGTACAACAGTGTTTTTAAGTGACAAGGCTTTACTTAATATGCTGAGAATTATAGGGGAAATTGTAAGTACTAAAAAAGCGGGTTAGGTAGAACTGCCTGCTATCTTATGCAGATTTATTTTAAGCTTCAAACATCTGAATTGGTAATGTTTCACTCCCTTCTTCACATTCTTTTGTGGAAGGTGACCCCAGTTTGGCCAACAGTTGGCTCTGAATTCAATTTTCTTAAGGAGACTTCATTTTCCAGCTGTCAGCCTATTCCAAAACTGAACTGGTATGTCACTGGTCAGAGCTGTTATGTTGTAAGTAACATCTAAGGGTGATAATGAGTTACCAAGATAAAAGATTAAAAAAAAAGAAAAAAGACAGAGCTCAGGAAATGTAAGGCAGTTCAGAGGAATCTTGAATGCTAAGTAAACCCTGTGACACACCCATATTGCTAGCAGTGGGCTAACTAAGAAAATTAGTATTGTTTATAGATGCACCTACAACTGTATTTCAGAAGTCTGTGGACAGGAGCATACAAACAGTAGTATCCTGTCTGTTTAATCCTGAGAACCGTCTGAGGAACACCTTTGTATCACAAGAAGACTACTTTAAGGTATGTAGTGAAAGCAAAATTAAATCCCTAAAACATGGCTGACCTTCAATTTGTTCACCTACAGGATGCCATAAAGATGAAGGTATTAATATCAAGAATGCCATTTGAATTTTTTCTTGTACATGCTCTGAGATGTATAGGTTTGGCTCTCAGTTGCTTAATACTGGAAACAAGTGCTGAAATTGAATTCAGTGGATTTAATACAAGACTGCAAAAAAAATTGCTGAACAGTTAACTCATGGACGCTTAGAGCATAAGACTGGCTAATCACTTCTCAGTGACAAATTGCTGAAAGGGCAGTGGGGTTACTCCCTAGTATGGGTAGAGGATGTTGAGTTTGAGCCTTATAGTCTTTACACCAGTTAAGTACCCACTGTGGATGGTGGCTCTTTATAGTTTGTGTAAAATGTCTATGCTTTAACCAATGAACTGTAGTCCAGGTTGGTGTCTGGTCATTGTATTTTTGCTGTATGTGTACAGTCTTTGTAGAATTGCAGTTTCTGATTACGTTCCAAGTGGTGTTTAATTTCTGTTGTTAATTAATGTTACATTTAAGACTTTGCTTCCTTTTTTTAAAAGGACAGACATACGAACTAGGCACATGTATTCCTGCTTCAGAGTACAGAAGCTGTATTTATCAGTTTTGGAGGGGGGTGGATAGAGTACAGAATGTCTTGGGATACTTTTCGTGAAACTTCAGTTGCTTTATTTTGATTATCTAGAAAAAACTTTTTCCTGTCTTTTCTCCTATCCCATTTCAGGAGAGGAAGGCTCATCACTTCAGAAAAGGAAGAGCAGTACTCAAAAGTGTTTGATCAACAAAGACTTTAAAGTATCTAAATTTATTAACTTGATGTTACTACAGTTCAGTTTATACTGCATATATTGCTAACCTTTTTCAACAAGTTGCTTCGAGTTGAAGTTTGTGTTCCTATTCTACCTGTTCCAATACAGTTTTTGCTTGAGTAGTTTGAAGTTTAAAGTTGTAAGAGTTGACGAAACATCCAGGTTTTATTAATCGTTTGCATGCTTCTGATAACTAACTGGAATGTTAAAGAGTTCATATGGGGAAAAACACTTTTTGTTTGGTGCATGTGGATTTTCTTCTGAGCTTTAAGGTACAGTTTGCATGTTACACTTAGTTTTTCTTAAACCACAATTTAAGTGACTAATACTGACCAGTTACCTCTTGCAGTTTGAAAATGGAAGAAGTTTTTTGCCCAAGAGGTTGTATTTTAAAACTGAGCTCTTAATCAGTGGAACAGAAGATGTCAAGTTGTAACTCAGCTGAAGCCCTTTAAGTCCTGGTTGTCTTTAGACTATGTAATCAATGTGGTTATGTTCATTAATGACAGTTTATGTACCTGCAGTCTTGAGCATCACTATAGTTTTGGGGAAGTAATGAAGAGAATCCTAAAATTTCTGTGTAACTTAAGATGCAAGAATGTAATTAGCTGTATTAGCTACTCAGTAGAGTATGCTTTTTTACTTGAAAAATTTTAGCAATACCTGTATGTTGAAATTGTGAGAAAATACTGCATTTAAAATGTGCCTTTGTTATGTGATGCAAACTGTTAATCAAAGAATATCTGTAAGCCTATTTTAATAATTATGTAGATTTTAGTCATGTGTTCTGAAACAATTAAAATAAATTTTTATTTTGACTTGGCTTCCCAAACTTCTAGTGACATGCTAGTATAATACTAGAGTTAATTTTAAGCTACCTTGAGAAAGACATACAGCATAATAAAGACTTGTGGAAGCTATTGAAGATTTATTAATTAACTGGAGAATAACATTACTACAGATTCGTAGTAACAAACTTCATTTTGTAGTAGTTATTAGCTGCAGTTTTGAAAGAGTAGAACTTCGAACTGTATTCAGTCTTGTGTGTATGTTGTGTCCTATTCTGCTTTTCTCCTTCTACTCCCAACACCTCAGTCTCTCCAGACTAAAAAAGAAATTATGCCTCTCATTGAGGGTGTATACATGAGTTTGAATAGGATTGCATGTCCTGCTTCAAATTTCCACAAGGTTTAGAAGTAGTAATGGCTAGGAAAAGACTTACCCAGAAGTGGATGTTAGTGAAATGTATAATGACAGAGGAACTGAGTTGCTACAGACCTGGACACTAAGGGAATATGGCTACAGCATGAAAAATGTCCAAGGACTGCTTCTGGGGAGTGTTCTGGATGGAATTTTATTAAGGGGGGGTGGTGGGGGAATAGGAATGGTTATAGGTTTTGGAACCACTTGCAGAATTGTACCAATGTTCTGATAGGATAAATTGACCTGAAAAAGCAAAGCTGTTAATCTTGTCTGTGCTCAGGCTGTTCCATGTCACTAAAGATACTGTGTTAAGTGTTCCTGTAATATCAATTTGCCATGTTTTTCTCAGAGTACTGTTTTAAAGACAGTAGCTTGATTATACTTCACTTCTGTGTTACCAGCTTCTTTCTAAGTTTTTTTAAATCTTGCACAGTTAAACTCAGTATTTAAAAAAAAAATCTGGAGTTTTCTGAATATCGGGATCCTTTTCTTCGCAACTTTAAGTACCTAAACAGCCTACTTGGGCTGTTAAAGCTGTGATGTCAGTTTATTGATAAAGGTAGTTGTTTCTTTGCAAATGCAGATTTCATTTTGGCTTAATGTTCTAGTTGGCTTGATTGCCCTGGGATGTATTTGAGGCTTTATGCTGTAGCTATAAGAAAACAAAGTGTCTATGTGTAGTTCTCACTGAAGAGTTTCAACACCAAAAGAAGAGATAAAACAGAAGATATGTACATAGAGTGCATATTTTATGTTTATTTGACCAAGTGTTACCCATAGGACCATCTGGTGAGCCAAGTTGATTGTTCAGTATGTTTGAAATGGTGGTGCTAGATATGAACAGTTCTTACAAGCATGCTGAGAAGGCTTATCACAGTGAAATGCATAGCCCAGGCCTTATGAGTGCCGTTTATTTTCTCTTCCATTAGATCATGTTGTGCTGGTTTTGTTAGCCATTTCTCACCCGTAGGAAACTTAATTTTTTTATTCCCATCTGGGAATTGTACATTTTGTGGCATATGCCAGTAAAAGTAACAAGTTATAACTAAGAACATGCATTTTTAATGTTCTTTTGAAGTACCCAATAAGCATAACACAAAAGCAATACGTAAATCTCTTTTGTGTTGCATTCAGAAAGTTGAAACATCTGTTTAATATGGCTGTAGCTGAAGGCATTTCCAGAATAGGTGCACAATTGGAGCTTCTTGCAAATTTGTATCTTTTGTATTACCAAATCAAGTGGACTGTGTTAATTGTGAACTAGTAGGCAGTAGTGAGTTCTTGTGGGTCTGCCTTTGCTTGCACGGAGTACGTATATTCTGTGTGGGACTCAAAAGCATGTAGGTCTCCTTTAAATAGTAAGACAGCTTTTTGTCAAAAGGAATAATTGTTTAGACAAGATAGAAAAACAGAATGCTTGCATTTACTTAGTATTACAGAGCTATGATACTTGTTTACCTGAAGTGTCCCAGTGAGCTGCTTGGTGCTGTGGCCTTTTCGTACTCTTTTCACAAGCTTTGCCACCTGACAGGATTATTCTTGGAATGAGACAGCCAGCCAGATGGTATTGTTGGATCTCCATTAGAATGATTGTCTGGCACAGACACTAATTCCCTGTCAAATGGAAATATTTTTTCCTTCTGGGTATTTGTGTGCTAAACCAAGATGCTAAATTTTGTCTTACATGAAGGTGATCTGAGCCTTGAATGCTACAAAGAAACAAAAGGATTTTCCCTTAATTGTATTTCAACAGGGTTTTCTTTTGCATGCCTTAATGGAACAGGTTTTTTTAAAGTCCTCAAACAGGTATACAGTCTATACTCCTTGCAGGAATGACTTGGTAAACCAGTATTTTAGGATAGATGTTGTATAAAAGCTTTAATGTCTGCCACTTTCAATGTAGCTGAGAAAGTGTAAAAAAAAAAAAAAAAAATCCAGGCTATAAAGAGTAAGTATCAGGGCTTCTTCAGGTGAAACATGCATCTTAGGAAAAAGCTTAAGTAGCTTTACAACCTAGATGGATTCTTACTTCATACTTTTTTATTCCTACTCTAAAGTTTGAGGTGAATTTCACTTTAAACTTCCTTGGGGGTGGGAAACACACTTTCACTGTAAGTTTTTTAAAGAAAGAAGGCACCAGCTGAGTTTATGAAGGCCTTTGTATTGCTCCAGTGACTGTTCCGGCTTTAGCTGCTGTGAATAAATTCAAAGTTTTTTTCCAGTAGTGTGAACTTCTGTGTACTTGGTGCTCAAGACAAACATGAAAAAAGGGTTGTTTATTCTCTTAGCTTAAGGTTGGGAGGCTCTAGTAAGTATAGTAATGAGGAAGACAGGTTTTACATTTAAAAATGTTACTGTAAAATACGATGTCAGAGCTGAAAATAAGTATCTTTATCCATACAGTAACTGTTTAGGACTAGCAGCATAATTAAAATCACAAACTCTCTCAAAACCTCTGAATACATAGTCCAGTAAAGATGTATGCTGCAGTCAGTCAACATATTGCTGATATAGTGCAATATTGGAGGTACTGCTTGTAAGACAGTACTCTACCTGTGGGTCTGCAACAATCCTCTACTCTTCTTGGGGGGGGGGGGGGGGTGTATTTGTAATTGTGCCCTCTAAGCTTCTAGCTGTTAATCTGTTCCTATTGGTACTTCTGTAAGTCAGATGTTCAAATTTCAGTGTATTGTTTGAACTATCAAGGGGGGGTTGCTTTCCTTTTCCCCTACCCCCATTCAAGATAAGTCGCCTTATCCTCTGAATGCTTTCTGTCTTAAATTTAAAGGAATAATATTTTGCTGAGGGGTGCCTTTTTTTCCTAGAACAAACATAACCAAATGTTTTTCCCCTTTGTTTTGTGCTGGTTCCTTTAGTACACTATGAGTTGAGTGTTGAAGGAATTCTTAAACTTCTTGTAAAGTGTTCCTAGAACAATGTACGACTAGAACTACCAGTTAATAGAGGTCATTGACTTGTTTCCCTGGGAAAAATTGGTGCTTAGAACTGTAAAAATCATAGAATAGTTTGGTTGGAAGGGACCTTTAAAGGTCATCTAGACCAACCCCCCTGCAATGAGCAGAGACATCTTCAACTAAATCTGGTTGCTCAGAGCCTCATTCAACCTGACCTGGAATGTTTCCAGGGATGGGGCATCCACCACCTCTCTGGGCAACCTGTGCCAGTGTTTCACCACCCTCAGTGTAAAAAATGTCTTCCTTCTATCTAGTCTAAATCTACCCCCCTTTAGTTTAAAGCCATTCCTCCTTGTCCTGTCGCAACAGGCCCTGCTAAAATTTGTCCCCATCTTTCTTGTAAGCCCCCTTTAAGTACCAAAAGGCCACAGTAAGATCTCCCCAGAGCCTTCTCTTCTCTGGGCTGAACAACTCCAACTCTATCAGCCTTTCTTCACAGGAGAGGTGTTCCATCCCCCTGATCTTTGTGGCCCTCTTCTGGACCCACTCCAACAGGTCCATGTCTTTCCTGTGCTGAGGGCTCCAGAGCTGAATGCAGTCCTCCAGGTGGGGTCTCACAAGACTAGAGGGGCAGAATCACCTCCCTTGAAGGAAAAAAATGTTTTGGCCTGTAGCAGTTCATAGGCTCATACATAGCTGAGCTGTACATTCATCTAGTTTTTGCCATAAGCTGGCTTTAAACTGAATGTAGAAAGCAGTTAAATGAAATCATAACAAGCAAGCAAATGATGCCTTTCTTAAAACATGCAAAGGGCACCCTGCATGTGCATGGTGGAGTAATCTTTTAGGAACATGCTTGTAATGGGGTTGGGCATGCATTCCCACCTCTGGCTTTTAGGATATTAAGGCAGGTAATAGAATATGTGCTGGACAGAGGC